CATCCTCCTCTTTCTTTATGTTCAGGATGCTGCATTTAGCTTTGCTTTGTCCAGCATCTTCCTTTCCTTTCCTTTCCTCCTCCCCAACAGAGTAAAACAGCCTCAACTGTGTATTTAGATTTTCAAAAGCCAAGAAGCATCGAGTCTGCTTTATTTTTTATCTGTATATATATGTATAGATATATATATATATATACATAAAAAGTCACTGTAATTAATTTGTAGGCTATTTTCTATGGCGTTGTAAATGAGCTGCTTTTAGCTATACAGACTGAATGTCATTTTGGATCTGTTGGGTTTGTTTGTTTTTTAAACAATTTCTGATGTGGGAAATGGGTATGTGTAATGGATGCCTTTTAAAAATTATTTTTCTTTACCAATTCCCAATTCCACTCCCTTTGTGTGTCCCCTGATCAGAAAGTAGCTGTTTTTGTCCTTAGGCAGATGACATAAAAACAGCAGCTGGCAGAGGTGAGGTGCTGTGTATCCACCTTTATCGACTGCCTTCTCAAACAGACCTGGTTAAAGGGCTCACTGACAATAACGCGCATTTCCACACATTCATCACACCCCACGGAACCTGCAATGCTGCAGAGACAACCAGCACATAGACACAACCAGGGAAAGAAAAGAAAAAACCCATTCCCTTTTTAAGGAAATGCTTACCGTTTGCAGGTTCGATGTCTATCTGCGCATTCAAAACCGACAGGTGTTTAAAGCTGGTGCCCAAACATTTGCTAAAATGTGTGGTTTTTTTTAATGGATCTCTCGTTTTCATTCACAACAATTGCTGCAGTATAGACAGTTCCTGACGGGCAACCATTTGTTTAGTGAGTGAAGTTACAACGACACTGAAAAAAGTGACTTTTGACCGTTTCTCACACTTACAACCATTGTACTCTCCCCGTGGTCAAATGGTCCAAATTCAGATGTTTGATACTGACTCGAATTTATGACGGTTGCAGTGTCCTGGAGTTCACATCATCCCCTTTTGCGACCTGACCAGCAAAGCAAATGGGGAAGCCAGATTCACTTAACAACGGTGGCAAGAAAGGTCATAAAACGTCTCACTTAGCAACAGAAATGTTGGCTTCAGTTGTGGTCGTAAGCCTATATATCTTTTTTCTTTGTTTGATTGTTTTCTGGGATGCCACCAAGAGACAGAGGATTAAAAACCAGCTGCAATTTCTCAAGGTTTGAATTTATTTACTCCTGTGGAAAAAGGGATGCGATGCAGTTCAGGAAAATTCATTCATTCGATCAGTGTATGTCCAAGTTTGTGTCTTTGCTTTCCAGTTGCCAAAAGCTTTCACACCTGGAACAGTCTGTCCACATCTTTTATTAAAAAAAAAAATCTTTAAAATTTAGGCTCAATTTTTGTATGTTCAAAAACAGCCTGGTGACACTGTTTTTTTTTTTTAAATAAAAAAATGATCGTCCCTTTACATTGTGTGTTTTCACAGCAGACGAGAGCAGACAGATGATTTAAGTATGACAAAACAATATCTATATATATATATCTATATCTCATAACCTGTAAAGCTAAATATTAAGTGTAGGTTATGTATAATGTTTGGTGTCTCTTTCTCTCTAATCAAATACCATTAAGAGTTTCAATAAATTTGTCAGCTAAAGATTGATGAGGTCTTTTGCAAAATTGAATCTATCTTGATTTTAAAAAAACCACTCTGATTAACAGAACCAGATCCACCTTCTGGGCTCAATGGACACAGCCTGTAGCTATTTTGCCATGGACAATATTTTTTTAAAGTTAAGAGAAAACACGGGAGAAACATTTGACCAACGTAAAAGAGTTTTAAGTAAAAAGATGAATTGTTGCTAGCATGAGGGATGAATGCTTATCAAATTTGCAGCTCACAAAATCCAGGATTATTCAATAGAAATTTCCAAACAGGGCGCTAAAAAGCACAGGATGGAATTTAACAGAAACTCGTTTGACGTTTTTCACAGAGAAAGTTAAAAAATAAAATAAAATGTGGCTACAGGACTGAGGCTAACTGTCTTACCTCTTAAGATCTTAAAATTGTAATTGGTCACAAGCTGGATTTGAACCAGCAGAGTAAATTTGGCTTGGAAAGGCCAGCGAAGTGTTAGGAATACGGTTCCAAGAATGGGAAACAATTGTTCAATTAATCAATTGAACTTGAAATGATCTGACATGGCTCTCCTGGTATACAGTATGCCCCAGGCAGCTGTCCATTGACTGCCTGTCAATTTCCTAAGCCTTCTCTTTTGAATTTAGTTAATTTTTTTTCATCCTTTCTCCTTTTTTCCCAACTGAGCAGCAGGTAAAAGAGGCGAGAAATAGGATGTTGTTTCTGCTATGCTAAGGCAGCCTTTTGATTTGACATTCTTTCCGACAGGTCTTGAAAAGAGAAATTTGAGAACGGAGAGCTGAGTCGGTTGGTTTTTCTTCTTCCCTTTGCAAGGCGACTTCTTCCTTTTATGCCAGTGTTCTTTAGGTTATAAACAAGCCATCTTTTGTATCGTCCCTGTCCCCCTCCATTTGCTCTGGAAGCTTTACTGGTTGACGAGAACGTGTAAAATGTGTGAAATAAATTACCCCCGTAGTAAATAATGAATCCACCTGCAAGAAAGGTCATACAGGATGTTTAATTGGATGTGAGTATCAGAATGCCAGCCGGGACTGGGCAGCAGGTTGCTCTGCATTTAGACATACATCTGGAGCTGGGTTTTGCTTTAATTATTATAATTACCAAGGTCAATATGAGGCATAAGATTGGCAAGTGGGAAGGAAAGGGTGATTTAAAAACTTCCTTTCTCCCTTCCTCCCTCTTCTCCTTTCTCCCTTCCTTCCTCTCTCCCTGTCTCTGTTCCTTCCTTCCTTCTTTCCTCCCTCCTTTCTTTCTTTTTCTTTCCTTCCTTTCTCTTTCTTCCTTCTTCCCTCCCTCCCTTCCTCTCCCCTCCCTCCTTCCCTTATATTACATTGTTTTATTATTTAAAACAAGAAAATATACATCTTTTGATATGAATTCCAGCATCTCCACCACATTATTATTTGGAAACATTAAAAGGAAGAAGGGAAAAAAAAAAGGTGGCTGTGTGATAAACACCCCTAAAAATAATATAGGCAAATTTTGAATTTCTGACCTCCCTCTTCTTTGTTCCCCAATTGTTTTGCAATACAGAGCGGTATAAACTGTAACCAAAAAACAAAACAGCAAAACCACATTCTAAACATTTGTATTTACTGTCCATTGTTGCATACTATACGGATATCTATGGAACCCCTTCTAAGCAGCAACAGTTTTCCTGCTTTCCAACCCTCTCGATTCTGCCCAAAAGCAGAAAGACACCTAATCTTTGCCTTGAAAGGCAGCGAAAACCAAGAGAAGAAAATGAAAGACAAGACAGAAAAGAGCCAGAATGAATGTGGTTTCCAGGCAGCATCATCCAAACCTGCGAAACTAGGCAGTTATAAACAGCCAGGTGAGAGCCAAGGAGGCTGACATTTAAACCGAGATTGAAAAGGAAGGAGCATTAAAGGTGATTAGTAAACCTTGAGTGACTTCTGTCTCTCTACAGCTTACAACATGTTGTGACCTTTATAGTCCATTGCTTTCTTTCAGCCACTCCCGCCCTCTCAAAACTAAATTACCTTTTTACAAAGCACCTCTCTTCCGTTTAAAGAAATGGAAAGAGAAGAGAGGACGGGTGGATTTTATTTCTGCTTAATTGTCCCCGAATCATCATCTTACCTTCAGATATATTTACCTTGCAGATTCAACTTTTACCTGGGGGAAGTTAAAAAAAAAAATCAGGGCGTTTTCCCAAGTCCTTTTCATATGCCCCTTATCCGACAGGAACCTCGGTGCAAAATTAAATATCAAAAGAGGAGATGTTGCTGACCCCGGTTGGCTGGGTGATATGGAGAAGGCTGAAGACTGGTTTTCATTTTTGTTTTTGTTTTTTATTTTTTGGAATCATTTTCTGAAGAGTTTACCAATAGATAGATAAAAGAGGAGCACCGACTTAGGGAAAAAAATATGAAAAGAAACGGAAAAAGGAAAATGCAAAGACAGGAAAAATAAGAAACAATAAGACATATTAGGGAGAGAAAAATCAAAGTACCTTCCCTTTGCCACTTTAAACCAACAATTGGCTGTATCTGTGTGTG